CCTCTTCACTACACCCCTTCCCCTGTGTCCCATTAGCCTGACTAAGAACACTATGCCGTGGCACTGCCGCCGCCCCGCTCCTCCATCCAGACGCTCCCAGACTGAGCAGCGCTCTGTAACTGACGAGAAATGGAGCAGCAGCCGGAGTTCGTTCTGTTTTCACTCATTTCTAAGCAGATTGTCAAAGATAAATCTGTCAGGTCACCACATCCTGGACTCTTTTCAAACTACACGGACATCGAATGTCTGGTGCTTTTAACAGGAGAGCTTTGCTTTAAGCCCAGAGGGTGTGAATCCTGTTTGCTTTTAATCCTGAACAGACCTTTTTTTATGAAGTGATTGAACTGGGGAGAGAAGCTGAAGATTGTTGGCTTTTAACCATCATCATTGGTTTGGTTCCTCTATAGTCCATCTGTACACATGTGATGCAGCTAAAGTCCTGCTCTCATCATGATGATGCCTGTATTTCAGACCTTTTCTAAGCACGTATGTTTAAAAACACACTACATGGTTAGAAAGCAGCACAAGCGTGGTTCACAGTCCTGCTGGTTGTTTTTTTCCATCCATGAGGAGGACAAATAAAGTTTCATAGAGTATTTGTTTGCTTTTTTTTTTTTGTAGTTTTCACCTAAAACCCAACAAAACTGTGGATAGAGGAACATTTGCCTTTCTTAGGGTAAAAAGTCGAAGATGTGGGCTCCTTTGGCATCGGTTTTGCTTTGAACACTATATTTTTTGGTTTTGCTTTTTACTTTTTGGCTTTGATCTTTCGTTAGTGATTTATCAAGACGTGTATTTAATCTACAATGACTTGAAATATTTATTTCTGTTGGATAAATGCTTCTGTTTTGTTTTTGTTTTTTTTTATAGTTGGCAATATTTTTCCTTTGTGGTAACCAGTCCTAAATGATATACGTCGTCCCAGATCAGCTTTTCCAGAATCTGACCGTCTGCCGTTGGATCATACTGATGATGTTGTGCAATTATTGTGAGAATTTATGCAGGAGAGTCTATTATGTATAGTAGATTTAACATTTCTGTCTGGAATTGTAATAAATGAAAGAATAAATTTACACTTATCAAAACTAATGAAATTCATGTGTCCCACAAGCAAAAACAAAAAGACTTCTACAGCATCACTGTGCATCATGAAAAAAAAAAAAAAAAGAATTCCTTTATAAACACTCAATTTAAACTGATTACAAATGTTCCGAGTAAAAAAATGGGCCATCTGCTGATAAAATGAAGAAAGCTGCAAATAACTGCAGGGTTACTGAAAAACACTTATGGGGTGAATTTTGTTCCATTATTGTTCAAATTGGAAAAAAATGTGATTCAGATATAAAACGGACATTTTCAAGAAGGGGGGGGGATGGTTTGAGTACCGTTTTCTCAATTTATTTTCAGTTTTATAGCTTTTTTTCAACTTGCATTTTGCAGATCACATTTTTTTAATAAATTTAAAAGAAATTAAAATAAATTCTGAGAAAACTCAGAAGTTACTCTTAATACCATTTCTTGAAGGAAGAGTCCGGTCAGCAAGGAATAATCAATGGATCGTTATCTATACCTAAAACTAATACGTTTGCGGTAATTTAATGAATGAGTAACACCTCACTCCTGACAGCTTCCGACAGTGATGTCACGGTGCGGTAAGCCTAGCGTCATTCTCCCTGCTTTACAAGCATAATCGATGGGACACATACACACACACTACTAGACACATCTGCAATCAACAATTATTGAAGATTTAAAGAGGACTTCACCATTGAAATTCCAGAATGCCATAGTTAAACTGACAATGCCCGTGTGAATGTCAGTTGGATGTTGTAATACATTGGTTAAAAGTGAGGAAAGAATTATTACACCTTTCCGATTCATGATCCTCCACGGACGGATTTGTCATTGGATTGCCAATTTAAGAGGGAGGATTTGCCATCGAAATTATCGCCAGAGAAAAAAAAAAAATTAATATGTAGCCAACATTTCGAAGAAGAATGTTTTCAAGATGACTTGGAATATAGCACGTTGTGACAAACACCAGATACAGCATTGGGACTTGCTAAACAGCCGATTCCCGCAACAAGACGTCACAAAGCGGCAAGTGGCAGTAATGTTCTTTGACAAACATGGATGTCTCCAGTAAAGCAAATTCAAATGAAAATTACTCTTAATTAAAACATCTATTGAACAGCATGTAATAATTTAATATTTAAAGTACTTTCAGAAGTTTGAATTCTGAATATGATCAGAGTTTTCCTTTGATAAAAAATATTTGTCAAAGTTTCATTACAGGATAACATTGTTTTTATATTAATTTATTATAGGAGCAATTTAAAAAATAACAATAAAGAACCTGCTCAAAAGCACTACTTAATTGTGAAATATCAATTACTGATTATCAATAAGTAGCGATGATCACACCATGTTTTTTTTCTGATCCAATACTGAGTAAAATACAGGCTGGTATCAGCGACATTGAACCGATGCCGATACTTGGTACGTATATATCTGTTGTATAATACTCAGAGGGTCCAGTTGAAATTGTCTTTTAAATATTTAACCAAATGAAATAATGCCAAAACTATTGATGCAATAATTATTTTAAAGATTTAAACAATGGGCTCTATGCAGAACTCCACCACTTCCTGAACTTAAGGCAGCTTTTATTTCATGTCTTTTTAAACTGGATGAACTGATTAATCCAGGTTTGTCTGGCCAATGTATCCATGGTTACTGAGGTCAGCCACACCTGGATTAATCAGTTCACCCAGTAAAAATTCATAAACTTTTTTTTTTTTTTTTTTTTTTTTACCATTTTCTTTTTTAAGATTATCTTAACTTTTTTTTTTTTTTTTACAACCTATTTTAATGACACCCACTCAATGTATTCCACTTAAATGATTATTCTTTTGGGAAACTAACTCAAATTCTGAATCTGAACCGGCTTTATTTATTAATTCTCTCATGTTTTGGATTTCTGAATTTCCATGTCACACCATCCCAACTTGATTAATAAGATGCTTTAACCCTGTAAAACCCAAATATAAAAAAACAGTTAAAAAAAAAAATTCAACCACACACACAGATGTTATTGTACGTAGGAGGCCTTTGAGGCTGAAAAGGAAGTGTTTTCAAAAAAAAAAATTATGATTTAGTAAGTTTTTACAGAAATGTTGTAATATTGTTGTAACATTGGGCCAAATGGGGAGTAGAATTTCCTGTATTGGTACACATTGTCCTAACAACAACACAGAACTACTGATTCATTTGCTGGGTTTTGCTTTTATCCCAGAAAAGAATAACATGAAAAATAACCTTAGTCATTTTGTTATGAACAGCTTTTTTAATTTGTTCCAGCAAAGAGAACATTTTATTTACAATGATAGTCCCAAAAACAGTTCCTGTCCTCTGAAAAACAGAGGCACTTGCTGCACTGGGTATCCGTATACCCTTTACTGTCCTCTCTTGACCTTCATGGGGAAATGTCCTGTGAGGTCCTTGTGCACATCAAGTGGGGGGGGTGCTCACGATTTCTTGGAGGGACAATTTGGACTCCAATCATCTGAGGATGGTTTCTTCCTGCACCTACCCACATAATGGATTCAATGCTCAAGGAGCTTCACTCCCAGTGGAACAGAGGTGAAGTATTTGTCTGCGTAGATCCTGTCATTTCTGACCCTTTGGAAGTGTGGAGGCAAGCCTCAGTTCAACATCCCCTGACAATCCAAGTTCAGATTTGACGCGTATTCCATTCTTGCTGCCCTGGTAAACATCAGAATCAAGCATCATGCCAGACATTCCAGCTCTGACCCATACTTTGAACCCCCATGGGTGCGGCTTGCCTCGCATATACTGCTTGATGCTGCTGAACTTCCCCTTGAAAGGAAGAAAGCAGCACCAGCTACAAGTATAGCTGTAAAAGGATGAAACAAAGAATAACGAAATTATGTTTAGTGTCTAATTAACAGCATTGAAATCGGTTTAAAAAGTAAAACCCAAATCAAAATATGACTTTAATTTGGTGAGACTTTTAAAAAGGGTGTATGAAACAGAGAGAATAGTTGGTTTCTCGACTATAATGACACCTCATCCCCTATTTAACAGTTTTTTTTTTTTATCTTCTATAATATATGCAGTAGTAATTCATTCAATTCTAATTATTGTTTAGTCCTCTTTCTAAAGAAGGCACTAATGACGCTGCATATTATGAATCAGGCCACAGATTTGGATACAGATTCCAACCTTTGGAGTAGTTTCTATAAAATTCATTACTGACAAAGCCTTGTTTACTAATTTTAGTACTGGACAATGAATGAAAAGGAATTTATTTCAGACAATTTTGAATAAACAAAAATAAATAAATCAACCAAATACACACAAAAAGAGATTAGTTCGATCAAGCAAACCAAACACCAATTTCCAAACGAACTAAATTCACCCGAGCATAAATGGAAACTAAACCCTCCAACATATAAACCTGTCGTTATATACAGCCAGAGAAATGACATCGATTAATGGAAATTGCCTGAAAAGGGGTATGAAGAAGTAAAACTTTTTATCTCATCTTCTTTTTGACTATTGAGCCAATGTAATGGGTACATTTCTCCACTGTGAGTCAATCAATCAATTCAATAATATAATGAATAAATTATAGGTTGCTCTATATTTGTTTTTATTATTATTATTTTCTTCATTGATAATTTTACATCTACTGCACCACATGTCACTGTTTAAGTAACGAGGGATTTACTGAATTTTGTTTTCCTAAATCTGGGGAAAGGACTTCCTGGTTAATTATTATTATAATTAAGCAGTTTTCATTGTGACAAATTTTTTGTGCCATATTTATTGAACCGCCGTGAATCAGAAGTAGAACTACTGGTAATAAGCACATTTTAAAACCTCTCCGTCCATTGTTATTAATGTGGAGTAATAAAAAGTCAGCCCTTTGACAGATGTGTTTGCACCCGCCATGTCCAAGATCTCGCGAGATCTTCATTCGTCACCATAGAAACCATTTTCAACAACAATTAAGCCGTTTCTGCTCGTTAGCTTGATTTCTATCCACCGGGTTTTGTTTGGTGTTTCTCCAGATTTTATCTTTGGACTGTTTTGGTTGGTTTTATTTTATTTGTTTTTTCTCTCCACCATGAGCTGCGATTACTACGAGACGCTAGAAATAAACAGACACGCAACAGACGCGGAGATTAAAAAGGCGTAAGTTTTTATTTCATCTGTCCCTCCGTGGGTTTGACACGTCACGTCACGATCTTTTCATCATCTTCACGCAGATACCGACGCCTCGCGCTGAAGTTTCACCCGAGCAGAAATGTAGAAGCTGGAAGCAGCGAGAGATTCCTTCAGCTGGGGGAAGCCTATGATGTCCTGAGTGACCGTGAGTTGGTTCACCTTCACCCCGACTCTCTGCTCTGGGATTCAGGCCCACTGACCTGGGATAGGAACACGGTTTTCCTTTAGTTTTCAAATAAGGCAGGGAAAGTGTTTGACGCTATTCCTTTTATCATTTCATAGTCATTTATCTCGAATAACAATAAAAGTTAAAAAAAAAAAGAAAAAAAAAAGAAAATATGAAAAAATAGTCATAAGCTTTTTTTTTACACAATTTGCTCAAAGGGGACCAGGTGGAAGATATAAGATTTGACTGTATAATTTCCTGCCCATATCTCTCATAATCTTTTCATATCAAGAACTACTTTATATTTAGCTACACATTATATTAATAACATCCATAATATTTTTGACCTTTGATAAACCCATCCTTTGTTTTTTGAAACGTCTTTTAAATTGTTTCATATTTACTCTCTTTGATCTCAGCATCATTTAATTCAATTAAATTCAGTTTATTTATATATTGCCAATTCACAACACATGTCATCTCAAGGCACTTTACAATTCAACCAGGTCATTGATTAAAAATGTTCTAAGGAAAACCAGTTGATTGCATCAACTTATTGACTTCAATGCAATCCCTCACACTATGCATGCTTGTAGCGACAGTGGAGAGAAAAAAAACTCCCTTTAAACAGGAAGAAACCTTCAGCAGAACCAGGCTCAGTGTGAGCGACCATCTGCCGAGGCCAACTGGGGTTCAAGGAGACAGAAGCAGAGATACAAAAATGAACTGTAAAAGGCGGCCCCATCCAGGAAACACACAGCCAGGCAGAAAAGCTCTGAGCCAACTCCCATGTCAGAGGATGAAGAAAGCACATCCAGCCAGACACAGTCAGAGAAACAGGACTACACTAGAAAACAGGGTGATCTCCAGCATCTATAAACAAAGGTGTTGATGGCAGCAGCACAGCTGATATTTCTCTCTAACTAACAGATTCTGCAGAGTGGGAAAATAGAGATACAGTAGAATGAAGCAGAATGATTTAATCCATTCAAATACATTATATTGTTTTTAAGAATATCCTTCTCCTCATAAACAACTCCCTTCTCTGTCACAAAACTGTTTTATCATGTTGTTCGGAAGATGCTGGTTCCTTACTTTGAAATTTATAAGGTCACAGATTTGTAACATATTTAATTTAAAAAAAACGTATCCATTTCTATCCTATATTTCTGTTGAAGATTCCCAGTCATCCAGGTCATAGTCATTCCAACAAAGTTAAAAGTTAAAAACAAACCACTGGACTTTGTTTTCCAAGTTTTAAGATGTTTCGCTTCCCATCCAGGAAGCTTTTTTAATTAAAAATGTCTGGATTAGCGTTGAGTTCCAGGCTTATCGAGTGGCCCAAAAATCCTACATAATATAGCATTTTTATTGTTGGTTTTTTTGCATTACATACAGTGGCTGTACATTTATTTGTAATGTATTCCCCCAAACTTCCACGCTATAAGTCAATTATGGTACAATGAGAATATTCTGTAAGATAAGCAGATATTTATGGATGATTTATTCACAAATAACACCCCACCCCCCAGATCTGAGGCTAAATTTAAACCCAGAGGTTTGATCTGGTAGATTGATTCTAAATCAACACTGTCATTTGTTATTTTGAATGTTCTGGTTTTAAATTTATTGTGGTTTCCAAATATCATCAATTTTGTTTTATTTCATTTCAAGGATAATCTACTAATTTTCAAGCAATTTAAATATTGTAATTTCTATTGGGACCATCTTTGCGAGTTTTTGGATGTTTTCTGCAGTATCATCTGCAAATATATTGCATTTTAGCAGGTTTGATCATTTGAATATGTCAAATACGTCTAACCCAACAAGGACCTCTGTGGTACCCCACAAATTATGTTTAGCAATTCTGATTTGTGATTATTTATTTCTACACATTGTTTCATATTTCCAATGTATTTTCTTAGCCAGTTTAATGTCATCCCCCATTTCTATACTTTGCTATCTCATCTTATAAGTGTTTTTGCTCTTTATTTAACTGGTGAGATGTTCTGCCAATGGAATTAGTATTTTTACCCTTAGAATAGACTTAGAGACTTAGACAACTTTTATTGTCATTTTTTTTATACACATACAAAGCAAAATTTCCTTTAGTATAGCTTTTACACAGTAAATGAGCAGCAGCTTAGCAGTGAAATGAACATTTCCTTTTCATAAAGTGCAGCAGTGATGGAATGTAAACAGAATAAGATAATTAGATATTATGCACTTGTAACAAAAAATTGAATTTTTTTATTTTTAATCAAAATCCTCCTATCTGACCTATCTGATCAAATTGAGAGAAAATACATGTTTTCCAAGGAAAAGTGACTTATTTATGTTTTTTATAATTTTTCAGTGGAAGTTGATTTGGTAAGATTTAATTGAATTTGGTTTATTTATATGTCACCAACTCACAACTAATATGTAATACAATTTATATCCCCAGATATTGTCAATTCAGTGCAGTTTATTGCATACATTCCAATCAAATCATCCAGAGGTTCCCAAACATTTCATCCTGTGGCTCAAAAAATACCAATAAAATGAACTGGAGACCCCATGAAAATAGAAATTAGTTCTTCACTCTGTATTTATGTATAAATATAAAGAAAAGCAATAGTCTAAATAAAAAAAACATTCAGTTTTAGATAATAGCTTTTTTAATACATAATTTCAAATGCATTTTAACTTATTAGATGAGACATTAAATTGTTTAATTTTGCTTGTTATATTCCAATTGTATAATTTACATTTGAATCATGTATTAGATAAAAAAATTTATTATTATACCAACATGCAGGTGCACCAGCTGGAACGGAGTGTAACAGTTCTAACGGGGGCTGTAGATTTTTATTTCTAAATATGTGATTCCTATTCATAAATCTGTAATTTGTTCAGATAAATTAGTGATTTATGCTCACAAACTTGTGATTTATTTGTATTTTTGCAAAACTGTGACTTACTGACTTGTTTTCTCACAGATTAAGATTTGATGTCTCGTATCTTTGATTTGACAAGAAACAAAAACATCCTGAATTTATTTACAGTCTTCACTTTCATTTAGAAATTCAAACAACTTCACATATATATATTTATCCAGAGTTATTTAACTTCATTAATATGTACTGAAGAAAACCTACTGACCTGGGTATTATTAGTACGAGTCTTTTAGTGTTGTGTCTATTCCCTTTCAGCTAGAAAAAAAGCAACCTATGATAAATTTGGTGAGGTTGGACTCAGAGATGGCATCCCTTTAGAGTTGGCCAGTGGAGGAGCTTGGTCCTCCAGATATATTTACCACGGCAACCCTGAGAAAACCTTCAGACAGTTCTTTGGAGACAACAACCCCTTTGCAGGTGAGAAAAGTGAATAAAAAACAAACATTGTATGCCTTTTTTAAATAAAACCAGCTGCTTCTTATTATTAATCTTGTCCCCAGACTTTTACACTACAGAGTCCCACCTTGAGTTTGACTTCCTGCACACAGGAGTTGAGAAGACTCAAGATTCTCCTATAGAGAGAGATCTTAACCTGTCGCTGGATGATCTCTTCCACGGATGCATAAAGAAGATCAAGATATCTCGCAGGGTAGAAGCTGCTAACATATCACAGAGCTGCCTGTTCTCCTCAGCCCGCTGCTTCTCTGGGGTTCAGTCATTCCTTTCTTTATTCCCCTGAGAGCTGCTGAGATTCTTGGTGGTCTAGTAAATGTTAGAATACAAATTACAGCTCTTTACATATTTAAGGTTTAGGGACATGAGCCTTTAAGAAGGTATCCGCCTCCTCTGTTTTCTCCAAAAACCTTTAAATATTTTATATCTTTGCCTTATTCGAACATCAGCCTCTGTATTAATTTAAATATGCAGTTGTTGTTTTTTGGAGATGGTCCTTTATTATTCTACTACACCTGTGACTCTTCTGAGAAACTGCAGGTACAGCCTCACTTCATTGCCCTTTCACCTACAGACAGCTCGTTTTCTCTGCAGCCGGTTGATGACCCTTTGAAACTCAGTGGTTTTCTTCAGGGATCTGTTGTTTTGTCTTTGTTAGATGAAGTTATAATTAGGATTAGTGGTCCAGTAGGTTTCACTAAGAGGCTGCACAGTTTTTAATTTTGTCAGGATTAATATCAGGTGTGTCCACAACAGCACCTGCAGGTTCAGCCTAGAGGTAAACAGTTGGAAATAATTTCCTCAGTCTTTAGTATTCTAAACAACATCTTATGAACTAGATGAGCTAATTTATAATATAATAAAATGTTATTTAAAGCATCTCATAGATGTAGTCATTTTAAAACTAATTTAAAAGCAAACATAAGGCCAAAGAATCACAATTCATAAAAATAAGTTTAATAAAGTTATATTCAGTTAAAGTGGGGCGTGGAGGTGAAGCTGCATTTTCAATTTCTATGTTTATCTTGGACTGAAAAAAACTGAGCTGAAAACATTTTATAAAAATAACTTTATTTGTCAATAATCTTAGCAGGAAATAAGATGATCTTTCAAGTGGAATGGGAGTTTTCAACCTTAAAATAAGATTATTACATATAATGCACTTGAAATTAGAAAATAAATTTAAAAAATAAATTTAAAGATATGTTGGAATCCTGGGCTTTGCATTATTTATATGTTAGAAGATTTGAAATTGTTATTTATTCAATTGAAAACAATGTGGCATCACTACCTATGGACTGCAGAAGATGGTTAAAACATCAGCATCAGGCAGTGTTTGGCTGTTTAATGGCTGCAATGACTGGCAGCAGTTATTAAAGATAAACACCACATACAGATCCAAGACACAACAAGAAAAAGATTTTTTGTTCATACATTGAGGAAACATTGAGGATATTTTTGATCTTGCACATTCTGATGCTTTCAGCCTCACCAGAATGGAAAAGGAGGATATTGATAAGGAATCTTAATTTTTGTACACAAACGTTGTAATGAACTGGGCAACAACTGAACATTGATTTCAATAACAAGATTCAATACAGCCTGTGTAAAAAAAAAATAAAAAATAGAAACATTAACATGTGGTAAATAGAATATATAAAGATCTGTGTTTTTATCTTAGGTAAACCAAGCGTGAGCTACCTCTGTTCTTGACATTGGCTATGTACTTATTATTTATTAACTCTAACTGGGTCTAAGCAAGTAATGTAAGAACCACCCTATTGTTAGGGTATATGTGGGAAAGACAAAATATTTACTCTTTAAAAATGTGCAATGCTCCTTTCAAATCTAATTAAAAGTAATAAATAATAACAATAATGAAAAAACAGAACAAATGAGTGAATGATCCTGTGTCTAATGGTTTGCTGTTAGGAACGGCTTCTCTATCTGTGTTGTGTGTTACAGGTTATGAACGAAGATGGACAAACCTCCAGCATCAAGGACAAGATTCTGACTATAGACGTAAAGCCTGGATGGAGGGAAGGAACCAAGATCATTTTCCCTAGAGAAGGCGATCAGGTACACTCTGCGTTTTTATGCTGCATACAGTTTTTACTGTTTCATCCATCTTTTGGAAAGATTTAAAAACTGGGTGAATTTGAGCTGAGGTCACAAGCCCCTAGTGGGTCATTGTTAGGTTTAGGGTCACCACCTGTGTAAAATACAGAATCCCCATTTAATTGGCAATTAAATATTGTAATGACTTGTTCTTAATTAAAGAAAACAAAATGAACCTAAGCCATTGCTTGGCTCTAATTTGATGCTTCGTGTTCCTGGATCCAATAATGAATAATGTGATTGTAAGGCGTTTCGCCACCTCTCCAGGATCTTGAAAACCGAAACGTCTTCAAATCTTGAAAACCAAGTCCAGTGGATATTTTTTTGAATTTTTACGGAATGACTATGACCTGGATGACTGAGAACCTTCATCAGCAATGTGATTGTAGAGTATTTATTGTTCAACAAGAGGCAAATTGACTGTTGCACACAAACCAAAGGATTTTACAGTTTTGCTGCAGCGCTGTGATCAACACAAAATAAACTGACGACAGTGGTCAAAAACTGTATGAACTCTAGAAATATGGCTCTTTTAAATTTCGTTCCTTATTTTCATAAATGTTATATCAAAACAAGCTAAACTAAATCTAACAAAAATGAACAAAATAAAAAACACATAGAATGCTAAAGCCGGCTGAATTTTTGAGATTGGATCTAAGCAGGACCTCCTCTGCTCCTCATCTGCTGCTGTTGCTAAGAAGATGGAACCCAAACTCGCACTGCTCTCTGTCAACCAAGTTATCCACAACTTCCTCAGTAGGAGATGGATTAGGGTTAGGAGCCATTAGAATGCAGAGTCCCATGCATCTGTCCTTTATAACCTAGCCATTTCCTGAGGCTGATATGACAAGGAATATTAGGGCTACTGTGCTCCATTTGATTGTTTATGTGGAATTTATAATCATTTATTTAATGCATAAGGTATTAAATGTACCTTAGTGTTAGCCAATAAAAAAGACTACTTAAAGAGTAAATCATAATAACAGACACAAAGGCAGGGTTTGCACGATGGTTTGCACATCCTAAAACGAATGCATGTGTGTACGCTCTGAGCGGCTCTCCAAAGAGGGTGAAAATAGTCTGTGTGCCTTCATCAATATGCAGACGATAATCTAAGGATTGAATCAAGCCAATCCATGAGTGAAGGATATAAAAAATATAAACATTTAACTTGTGAAACTCAGGTACAAGCCTACATTCAAAAATTTTAGAGGCCATTGTCGCTTCTAAATGATGTTAAGATCGCCTCTGCTCTGATCTGCATGCTGTGGGAACACCAGAGCCGGGTCGACTTACAAAATTATGTGATACCATTGAAGGCAACGTAGGGACGTCAACACACCGCAACAGTCGCTTCTGATCTAACAAGCAGAAACAGCTTTGTTTGCATTCAATAAACATGGAGCAGCTCTGGTGAGAGGGATTCAGACAGAAAATAGAGCGAAACAATAAAGCACACAGACTACACCCTGGCTTCCTTACATGTTGCTCTCCATTGTTTACTTTCCTGATTTCTGTCACACTGTTGACATCATGAATGCTAACCCAGCGTGATGATGTCACCAGACTCACAGTAGTGGGGGTTCAGAGGCCACGCAGCTGCTAGCGAGGGGTTGATCAGCTTTTTTAGCCAATGGGAAGGGGTCTAAATGACGATTGTTAGCGGGTCGACCATGTTTGAAAAACACACGTTAACCTGCTAATTTCAGTGGGAAAGACGCTTAAAGGTATAGCGGAGGATTTTCTAAAATTTTTTAAAAAGACCCGCCCTCTCCCCTTTTAAAAAGAAAAATGCACATGCACAACCGTGTACCCACTCCCAAGAGGAACGCCTATTAAACGTGTGCGAGACATGCACAAGCCAATTTTTTCCTCATGCACACTCTGTTTAAAAGTTGCTGTTTGCATCGCTCATACAAGCTTACTTTTCAAAAGAAGATTTGCAATTTTTCCACAATGTCAGACTCACCAACGGTAAGTGAAAATGGGGACGAAAACGTAGGACGGCCTTACGTAAACATATCTGACTGACAGTTAGGAGGACCACTTATTTTGATGATCCACCCGGAAAAAGAACATCCTCCACTATACCTTTAAGTTGCGTGCATATGTGAGTTTGTAACATTTGTCTCATTTTCTGGTCTGGACTTCTTATTGTTGGCGACAGTCAAAACAACTAAGTCGCCGAGCGGCTGATTAGGGGAATCCTTGTTGACGTGCTCAAAAGGTTCAGTCCAATATGCTGTTCAGATCCTTTTATTGATCTTCAAAAAACATGCAGGCAGCATACAAACAAATCCACAGGTAGGAGCCGTGATCAAGCGCAACAATAATATCCAAAAACTTAAAGCGGTCAGCAAAATGTAGACATCCCCCATCACCCACTCTCTGACACAAACACCAGGTGAACAGAACAGGTGATTTTACCAATCACTGCTGACACCACGTGATCAAAACTATGCCCATTCACCACACTTATTGTTTTACAATAAGTTGTTCAATGAAGGTTTCTAAGCCTTATTTGAACCTAATTTGGCTTATCTGATCACCTTTTACAAAAAGACTCCTTTATTTTCATGTATGAAAAGATGGCAACTCCAGCTTAACAGACTTAACCCTCAGCATGTCAACAAGCTCATCTGATGCAGTGACAGAGCATCAATCTGGGGGTCCTGGACTGAGAAACGCTGAAGACTCTCCTGTCCTGTACCATCTATACTGAATTCATTAGCCTCTGAATAGGTGAAATTTATTGATAGTTTTTAGGATTTTACTTTAAAATGTGTTGCTTTTCTTAACCACATCCTTCCGTATTTTAAGCCAAGCTGTTATGCTTCACCCCCAGGGACCAAACAGCATTCCTGCAGATATTGTGTTCATAGTGAGGGAGAAGATTCATCATCTGTTCAAAAGACAGCACAACGACCTCATCTATAAGGCCAGGATCTCTCTGGAGATGGTGCGTTATGTCAGGTTTTACTGCCTGCTGGATTGTTAACCTGAACAGGCTGTAATTCCTAACGTTGATTTCTGGATTGACTTCTTTTTTAATATCCATTTAAAAAATAATTTCTTTGCTTTCAACAATAATCAGTCCATAAATAATGGAAGAAATATTGTATTTCTAAGTCTTTTTTTTCCTCCCAAAAGATAGAGAAAATACTTACATGCAAATAAAAATAAAATTTGCTTGCAACATAAAATAAATGATTTAAATAATTGTGAAGGATCCCTCAGCAAACGTCTTCCCCTCCCAGCAGGCGTTGACCGGCTGTTCTGTGGATGTGCAGACACTAGATGGCAGGCTGCTCACCATTCCTGTCAACGACATCGTGCAGTAAGTGCTTTCCTTTTATTTACTGCACTGAAGTTTGCAATGACCTCCTATTTTAGGTCAAAGATCAACATTAGACAAACTTAATATCAAAATTACTGTCACTTCATGTCAACAGTGTGTTTTAGCAATGACATTTACTAAGAAATGTCTCATTATGATCCAGCCCTTCGTACAAAAAAGTGCTGAGTGGAGAGGGAATGCCGCTGCCCAAGGATCCTTCCCAGAGAGGAGACCTCATCATTGCCTTTGATATCTCATTTCCAGAGAAGCTCTGCCCTGAAAACAAGCGTCTGATCAAAAAAGCTCTATGCAGCAGGAGCTGAAAGCAGTTTGATTTAATGTAAAAAGAGTGGAGTAAAAAAAGTTTTATTAGGTTTGAGCTGAGAGATAAAGGCAGCTGTGTTACAACAGCAGGAATACTTCAGTTGTTATAATAAAGTTGTGCAGCTGTGATTGGCTGCCATCAAAGCCCGCTTTAGCTGCTCATATGTGACAAACATCACCACGTTCCAGGAGCCCAGCCGTAAGAATGAGGGCATGAACCTAAACCAGGAGAAAACAGAAAAACAAGATTATTTCATCACATAAAGAACAGGAAATCCCTCAGTTCAGTGAAACAGTGGAGAAACATCAGAGGTGGGTAGAGAACAGAAACATCTCAACTAAGAGAAGCATTACTTCAGATATTTTCACTAACGCAACATTATAAGGAAGCCACCTACTAAAAAAATTAAGTGAGAATAAAATACTATTTGGTAAAAAGGAACTTAAGTACCAAGTATTATTCTGCTTTCCCTGCCTCCTTTTTCAAACGTCAGGATCTGACCCAGCTTTCATGAAGACAGGAAGGACTGGTTTAAGGCATTTTTTGGAAAATGTTATAATGTTTTTTCTTATTGCCATTTGTATAAATATACTGGTCTGATACCTTAGTACACATTTGATTTGTTTTGGTATACATCTAATTTAAAGTTATAGCACACCCTGGAGAAAACCGCCACTGAAACCAAACTATGGATATAGAGGCTGCAGTTGTTCACCTGTTGTGCTATAAATAAACAGTAATGTGTTTTGTAAAGTTATTAACAACTTATGTTTTAAAATATTGACTAAAGCCCAGCATACACTGCGCAATTTTTGAGATGATTCTCCAGTCATCTGGCAAGTGTGGCAATCGGGCCGTTCTTGGCCAAGTTGTGTGTCGCGCACTGTGGAGTGTAGATGGTTTTATTTTTGATCAGGACCTGTAAATTAAATCCCATATCAAAGAGGTTTCTAGAATTTCCTTCTTTCATCTGTGGAATATTGCACAAAATAGAAATATCCTGTCCAGGGGTGATGCTGAGAAACTGGTCTTCATTATGCATCCATGTCTTCTTGCATGTTACTTTAAAGGAATAGTACACCCAAAACATGATTAGCCTTCATTTTCTACTCACCCCCATGCTGAACAACACTCTGGAGTACTTTTTTGATATTTCCTAAAAGCGCGTTCACGAGTCTACGGAAACCGCGGCAGACCAAACCAGATGAAAGTGCGCATTCAGCTCGGCAAAGAACTCATGCTCTTCCTCAACACTGAAGTCCTCAGACATTTTTCTTTCGTTGTTTCTTTCTTTGCACAGGTAAACAGCACATTTCTTCTTCTACGCTTGCATTATCGGCAGAGCAGACGCTGAATGCGCACTTTCATCTGGTTTGGTCTGCCGGTTTCCGTAGCGTCGTGAACGCGCAGGCGCACGCTTTTAGGAAATCCTATAGACTACTGTTTATGCTCTAAAAACATTCTAAATGACTTTGTTTCGAGTAAATTCTGGATGCTACCCACTCAGGACACTTGGAATACATTGGGCGAGCAGTATGGAGGAATATTGACACGTTTTTTGTGGACTTTTATGGACCTTTCTGCCCAGATCTCCAGATGCATTTGAGATATCAAAAAAGTACTCCAGAGTGTTGTTCAGCATGGGGGTGAGTAGAAAATGAAGGCTAATCATGTTTTGGGTGTACTATTCCTTTAAGGCTGAACTATTGTAATTCTTTACTATCAGGAAGTCAAACTGTAGTTAAAAGCCTTCAGCTGAGAAATCCTGCAGCCAGAGTTCTGATAAAAATGAAAAAGATCATATCATATCTCTCCTATTGTCAAGGATTTTTAGATTCTCCAGCTGTTGTCCAAACTTGAAAAGGCCTAGCCACAACCAAAAGGATGCTGAGACAACTCAACTCAGTTTGTTTTCTTTGTCTTTTCCATTGATATTAGACCTAAACATCATTTTACAACATCAGAGGCTGCGATCATTAGCCTTTTTACAAAAAACGTTTTACCCTTTGCTTTTACTCAAGTAAAAATATTACAGTAGTGCTACTATTTTGTGTTTTCCACCCACTTCTAATAATTGATCATATAACAATGTAAAGAATTAAAGAGATCGTTATAGATTAGAGATTTCTTGTGATTTTATTTTCTGTGGCTCTTTGTGTGTTTAATATCTATTTTTTCTGCAATAAATCTATCAGCAGTGTCTTTGCAGTGTTTCCTTACCCCTTATAAAAGGCCAGCGGGCCCTCATTGCTTATCATAGCGCCAGCACAGCTCAGGGCTCCACTGTACTGGCCTGGAGCAGAGTTCACATATCGTGTTTTGACCACGTCCACGGGTGAAGCGATCACAGTTGTGCATAAACCTGCTCCAAAGGCCGATACAAAGTGGCAAGGCAGGTTGTCTGTGGAGTACAAGAGGTTAAGTTTCAGCTTCTGAAAACCTTCTGAAGCATGTTACCTGTAGGACCACAGGTCTCTCTTATCAAAGAATGCATGCATCTGTACTGAGAATGTGTGTAGGTCTAAATGCAGAACACTGGTACGCATAAGGTTTTTGAGATTTATCAAACCATACATGCATACACACAACAGCAAGCAAATTTTTCTCCATAAATAACACTGGTACGGACAAAGCTCTCCCTCATGCTGGGCTCTCTGCATGCCCACATTCAGCCATAAATGAATGGTCCAAGAAAATCACTGCATAAATGTCACTGTGTATTTAAATGAGCCAGCAGATCAATGATCTTTAAAAGCTGCCATGAAAACTGCAAGGAAAAGAACAACAACAAAAAGGAAAACACAACTAAATGGAAGTATTATGAGTAAAATAAACTTTTATGAATGGAAATGGAAAGGGTCTGATTGATGGACTGCTCATATTAACAAGGACATCCAATATGGTAGACAGTATGCAGCTTAGCGCAGGCTGTGATATCAAAATATAACACATTAAATACCTGAGAATCTGGATTATCTTTAGCTTAGCTTTGATAAACTGCGGCCTAAAGCCACGGCCATTTTTTACCCATATGTAATAATCTATATATACCGGTAATTCTATTTTTTTTTTTTCTGGAGTACCATGCACCCAGTTACTCTTTAATTTTTTGTATATTGGAGTCTGTGTCCAGCACGTCAGTCTCTTAAATACTGAATCCTGTTCAGCACATACAGCGGGTGAAATAAGTATTAAACATACCACCATTTTTCTCAGTTAATATATATATCTAGAGGCACTATTGACATGACATGACATTTTCGCCAGATGTTGGTAACAATCCATTCAATCCACACATACAAAGAGATCAAACCATAGATGTCCAGAAATTAAGTTATGCGTAATAAAGTGAAATGGCCCCTTTTTAGAGCTCAGAGCAGAGAACCCAGTATTCAGACAGACAGACAATATGTGTCAAAAAGTGTTTATTAAAAACGACAGATCTGCAGTGAACAGCTAGGATGTCTAAGGCAGGAACCTCTGGTCTTAAAGTTCATTCTCTGACTGTATGCACGCTCACAATGCAAGACTCCACTTCTGAGGAAAAAGCATGTAGAAGGTCGTTTAAAGTTTGCTGCACAACATTTAGACAAGCCTGTGAAGTACTGGTCAGATGAGACCAAGATTAAACTCTTTGGATGCCGTAATACACATCATGTTGTCAAAGGTCACCATACCAACAGTGACGTGTGGAGGTGGGAACATCATGGTGTGTGTGTGTGGGGGGGGGGGGGGGGGGGGGCGGGGGTTTGCATATGGTATTGGCAAACTTCAAATAATTGAAGGAAGGATGAACAAATGTACAGAGATATTCTGGATAATAATCTACTGCCATCTACCAGGGTGAGGAAGATGAAGCATGGGGGGACATTTCAACAAGAAAATGACCCCAAAAACACAGCCAAGGAGACTCTCCATTGGTTTCAGAGAAATAAAATAAAGCTTCTAAAATGGCCAAACCAATCACCTGACTGGAATCAGGAAATAAAATTTTAGGAATAGAAAATCTATGGAAAGAACTAAAGATCAGATGTCATAGAAGAGGCCCACAAAACCTTCAAGAGTGTTTGTGTGAGTGAATGGGCCAAAATCACACCTCAGTAATGCATGCAAATAATTTCTCCTTACAGAAGGCGTCTTGAAGCTGTCATTACCCACAAAGGCATTTCTACAAGTGTTTGTAAAATTTCAGGTAGTGTGTTCAATACTTTTCTCCCTGTGCCATTCCACATCATTTCACATAACTTCATTTCTGGACATCTACTGTTTGATTTCTTTGTATGTGTGGATTGAATGGATTTTTAAAAACATCTGGTAGACATGTCATCACAATTGCACCTATAGAAATACATTTACTGAGAAAAATGGTGGCGTGTTCAATACTTGTTTCACCCGCTGTAGATCCGAGCAGGGTCTGCAGCCTGTGGATCATTGGACCTCTCAGAGAGGCTCTGGAAAAAAAAAATATTTTTGTATAAAAGCATCATGTGGCATTAGAGGCTCTAATCGAGTTTGATTCCCGGACTCAGGGCCACACTGGCTCTGTAGACTCTAAAGGTTGCAGAGCCCTGATCTCGGGAGTATGATGAGCCATTCGTTATCAAGGGTCAAAAGTCAGCCCTGAAAACGTGTTCTGGCAGCAACGTCAGATGGGTGTCACAGCTGTATTTAAATGTTTACAGCAGTCGGTGTGAATGCCTAGCAACTTGTTCGATTTATGTATTGATCTGTGGTAACACTCACACTGGGGATCATCGGGAAGAGGAATGTGATGATGAGGAAATGTTTAGTATTGATGGGGAATTTGAGCTGCTCTTAGACCTTTTATATCCATTCTACAGGTCCTGGTGTAAATTTAGACATATGGTTCATAATGCAGCATGAATTTCTCTGCAATATTTATTGCTTATGATAATGTTGATCTATGATTAATGATCACATTATACAATGTTGGGTGTCTAAGAGGACTTAGTAAGGCTTTATCTATTGTATTTTTATCAAAGAAAACGTGTTCATTGCTTGCAACAATAATACCACCCATTATTGTTGCACGTTAAGTCTATAAATTTACTCCAAAGACACATTTTCACTGCAATTTTGTTTTAAATTGATGATAATTTTGAAAAGCATGGTCAGTCTCAGGCCTTATTTTGTGTGTAAACAAGTTTGATAAATCAGACCCAGGCCCTCTTTCTTACCAGACATGGGGGTGGACATGAGGAGGAAATCCTTGATGAAGTCGTACGTCACCAGCTCTGTGCAGTTAACGATGGCATTGCGTGCAATGTTTGGACTCATCCCTTTGTGCACACACAAATATTTGCCATGAAGATTCATTTAAGACCCTTTAGACAGTATCTATGGAGTTAAGATCACCTTTCCAGAGTCCGCGCATGCCTTCCTCCTTAGCT